AAGGCTTGATAATTCACATTAAACACCTGCTGATTGTCTTGTTATACTTGTTGAAGTAAGATCCCTGCTAGCTACTCTCTCCAGCTGAGCTGATAATTATCTTGGAAGTCATGAGCTTTTGTTAATGAGACTCAATATTGTACTTTTAATTCAGGAGGGTGGTCCTCACAGTTGCATTTGTTTTTTGAAAAAAAAAACAAGAGGTAGTCCTTCTTCAGTTAAATGGCACTGTCCATTTCATAGGAAGAGTGACTGTCTCAATGCAAAATTATTTTTGTTGCCGGCACTGAGGTCTGTTAGACTGAAGCTGTGTTTTAGCCAGTACTTTTGTAGTAGATATCTCCTCCATGCCTTCTCCATGGTCACACAAAGAAGAAATTTTCATATCTGACATTCCAGCTGTTGTATGTTAACAGTCCGTATTGACCTTGGTTTTCACTGAGAAGGTCCACTGCTATGGAAATCTCTCTGTAGTTGGATGTGGGATTGAATGTAAACAGTATGAAAGAATCTCTCTGTCTCATAGGAGAAGTAGTGTTATAGTCTGTAGAAAAAGCCTACTGATATGGATTCTGCAGAAGAATTGGAAATTGCCTTACTTCCATTTTGAAAGTTCTTTTGTTTTACTGAATTTGTCATACTCTGCAAAAATAGATATTTTTTGTGTGCTTTTCTCCAAAAACACATGTCTAATGTAAGTGGAGGGAATTTCAGGAGGTTTTGTCCTGGTTTAATGAGCTGAAGGAAGCATTGTAAGGGATGTGTGAATGTTGTTACTCTAGCAAAAAAATTTCCATCTAACCAATACTTATATGTGTATCGACTGACATGGTTCAGTAAAGTCATAAACATTAAAGCCAATGGGTGAATGCAAATACCGGACAGAAACAGCTCATTTTATGAAGACAGTTGTAGTGGAACTGTCCGTAGGTTATGTGAAAAACAGTAGTGATGCTTAGAAATTTACTGTGAATGTGGTGCATAAGGTTCATATTATTCTTGCTGTCGGATGCCTTCAGACCCCATTAAACATGTTGTCAGATTCCTTTTAAGATATTCCACCCTTGGTTTGGGTTGGAAGTAACGTTAAAGATCATCCAGTTCAACCCTCCTTGCCATGGGCAGGGACACCTCCCACCAGACCAGGTTGCCCAAAGCCCTGTCAAACCTGGCCTTGAACACTTCCAGGGAGGGGGCATCCACAACTTCCCTAGGCAACCTGTGCCAGTGTCTCACCACCGTCACAGTAAATAATCAACTAAGCCTTCGTATGGTTGGTCAGAGAGTCAAAACTCAGCTTCTTTCATGACCGTATCTCAGCTTTGGGAGGTTATACCCTCTGTTTAGGCTGTGTTGGCACAGCATTAGCAGCAATATCTAACCAGAAGGGCAGAGTACATAGTCAGGCTACACATGGGAAAGAAGCAACGTGACTGCACCCATTCTGTCTCTATGCCAGTCTTGGCACAAAGACTGGAGAAGTGGTTCAGCATTTAGAAAAGAGCATGCTGACCAATCAGCCATTCCTCATCTCCTCTGGGAAAGCTTTAATTCTGGTTCTCAGCAGAATTCCCCCATCCTGACTACTGGGAGATTCACCTCTTGTTGCCACATGTTTACGAGCATGTATTCAGTCTGTCTTCTTTGTCCTTCATCTATATCACCTTTCTTCTCTGGTTTTTTTTTTCTTCCCCACCGTGCCATCTGCAGGTTTCTAAACAAAAGGACCTCAGTGGTCGTGAATTACATCTCCTCTCCTGGCAAGCTCTCCTGTGCCTCACACATCTGCCTTTCACATTTCCAGAGATACCAGCTGTGAATTAGCTTTTGTATCTCTGTCCTACAAATGGCCCAACATCCCTCCCCTCCCCAGTTGCTTTTCACTGTAATTTCCAGCTGCTTAAGGATTTTGCTGAGAACTGTGGTAATGTTTGAATCAAAATTGCTTTGGTTAGAGGGGCCCCTAAGTGCTGGTGTGGTGCAGTGTCCTGATGGAAACGGAATTTGCAGAGCGGTGTGCTGAAAGACCACCCCGGTCCTCCCCATTCTTTGTCTGGGAATAATTTTATACTGGCAGCAATTTGTTATTTTCTTTTAATGTTGTGATGGAGTTTTTTTCTTTAGGACCAGAGGAAATTTTTGTAGCTCTTTTACCTTGTTTATAACTTGAACCTGTAAATACCAGACTGGGGTCAGGCTGGTGGAGAAGAGAAGAGGGGTCAGCTGGGGTGTGGATTTACAGTTAGGGAAGTAATCGCATTGCTGGTGTGAGGGCAGCTTAATTAATTAATTTACATCCCTGCAAAGAGAGAGCTTTAACTCACACTTCAGCTCTTGTGTCTGGCACTCAGAGCTTTTTGAGAGGAGCTGGATTCTGTAATTTTGAAAACTTTTGAGTGTCACCCAGATAAAAAGGCTTAGCTGGTGCATAACATTTTACTCTCCAGGGACATAAAGTTTTAGGCAGAGTACAACTGACTTAACTTCAGCCCTTCTAGGTTCATTAGCTGCCGTTTCTTGTTATAGCCATTACTATTTTCCATTAGCCGTCAGCAAATATTTTCAGCGCAACTTTTCTGTTGTGGAATGGATTCCCCACAAGTTTGGGCTTACAAAAACAAACAAATGCATGCACGTATTTACTGCCACAATGCTGCGTTAGTCATGATTTCAGCAGTAACCTAACAAACTGTGAGACTGTATTGGTAAGACAGGAAGACAGCTTCGCTTCTTGAGCAGTCTCTTGGCTTAAGTAGGCTTTTCATCATAGTCACTTGACTATTTATACCACTGTGGTTTTCAGGGATTTTATATTATTATTTTATATTATTATAGAGACTTGAGAGAAATATCTTTTATTTTTAAAGTTATGTTCTGTTCAGAAAACCAGAGTTTCCTGAATCTTGCTAGTATTTTCTATGCATTAAGAACATTACCCCAAAAAAAACAGTAGATTGGTATTTTTGACCAGCATTTAAATAAATGTGTCTCTGTTAGTTACTGTGCACTACAGCCTGTAGTGCCTGGCATCATTAATTATTTTATCTGTGGAGTCAGCAGAAATCCCGAAAGAGTGTTTTCTTTGTTAACCTGTGCTCTTGCCGAGAGCTCAAACAGTTGCATCAGAGCAGAACAGAAATAGAGGGGATCAGCCTCCAAGTGGGGCAAAAGTTATTTATTGCTGAAAGTTTGTAATAAGAGGAGAGGGATATTGGCAGAATTGGCTTCTTGTTAGCTGCAGAAGCTCTGGAGTTCTCGCGGAGCAGTGGAGTGGAGAAGCTGAGGTCCCCGGTGGTGTCACTCTCACCGGGTGGAAAGGCAGATTCGCAGCCATGTGTGCAGCCTTTCGACGTTATACATGCTATTTTGCAAAGTGTAGTGAGTGGGAACTGGATGGCTGAGTACACCGATAATGAGCTGCGGGTCCTCTCCCTGCACCTCCCCTTGCTGGTGACTGACAGATGGCACGTTGGTGGCTTTGCGGGATGGGGATGGTCCCCGTCCGGCTCCCAGCAGACAGTCGTCCCCGTCACGAGGCGGCAATCCCAGTAAGTGCTAATTGCCAACCCTGGTGACAGTTTTAGGAGGAAAAGGCCTGAGGCTGATACGAGTTGTTGAGAGGACAGGCTCCACACTCCAAATGAGTTATGGACTGATCTGGGGGATTTTACATTGCCACTATATATTGCCATAACATTTATTTTTCTGTAAATAAGAAGTTTCAGTCACTAAGGCTGTCAGTCCACTTCTTTCCACTGTATCAGTTTTTAAAAGTATAGTTAAATACAGGAAATGGAAAAGGTCTTTTACCTTTCTCTTAGAAAATGTTGTGGTTTTCATGCTGATCTCATACTGAATTGGGATTACCCTAAGTTTAGATTTCTTGTTGCAAGGAGGGGACAATGGCAAGGGACATTATTCCCAGAAAATTTTGCTTTGCCTAAGGATTGGATATCAGAACTTTATGATTTGTAAGGGGACACAGAAACCTTTAAGGAAAAGCAAAGCATCGAGGAGTTAACCAGCACAGCAGTTAATGTGCAATGATCGGTATGCAATATCTTGGCTCACTGTCATCAAAAATTGCTGCCGTGGGAATTGACATGTTAGCATATGTAGCTGAAACTGAAATGCGAACTTCTTTCATGCAAAGAGAAATAACTTCCTGCCTTATTTCTTTCTCTTTTAAAAATGCAATTGAAATATTGAGGGAGAAGTTTGAAACACTGATTGCATTTTGAAGGCATATTATTAAATCTCTTGAGTGCTTGTTGATCTTGGATCATTTCGTTTTCATGGTGTTTCAGACTGAAAATTATTAGTAATTCTGTTTAAGTTGCAACTAAATTACTAATTAACTTTTATCTCTCAGAATTTATATCTTTTGTGTTTCTGGCAATACAGTGTGCTCTTTACACAATGAAGCAGAAATTTTTTGCTATCTGCCTCTCTGTGCCCCTTAAAATATATAAAGCATTTTTGGAATTAATGAGCTGTCACATCTCAGGTAATGAATGAAAGGAACTGACAGAAATCCTTTTGTTGTTTAAGAAATTCCAAATAATTAATGGGAAAAAAATGACAGAGATTCTTTTAGGTTTTAAGAGGAAATACATCTTTCAAATTCGTTGTGTGACAGAAGAAACTTTAAAATATATTTGCAAAAAACCAGAGATCCTGCTTAGTGGGTTAATTCCAATTCTCTCTCCTGAGGTAAACTGTAGCAGAATATGAGATAAAAATATTTTATGTTTTGAGAAATAGGTTCCTAGTCCACAGATTACTCATTTCAGGTTCATTGCAGAAGTAAAGAATCTTCCAGATTCCTTTATTTGCCATTGTGGGTATATTTGAGTTAGACCCTGAGCATGTTATAGACCACATGTCTTCCTGCAGGTCAGGTTTGGGGACGGAGGGATGTTTCGTTGTTTTACTATGCGGATTTATGAAGTCCCACTTTACCCATTCAGGATGATGCCTCTACTGCTGTTGTTTTTCAGGTAACTGTTTCAGATGGGGGCACATCTCCCAAGCAGTCCTCTGTTTGGGTGGTGGTCCAGGTTCTGGATGAGAACGATAACAAACCTCAGTTTCCAGAGAAAGTCTACCAGATCAAGCTGCCAGAGAGGGACCGTAAGAAAAGAGGAGAACCAATCTACAGAGCTTTTGCTTTTGACAAAGACGAAGGCCCTAATGCAGAAATCTCATACAGCATTGTGGATGGAAATGATGATGGGAAATTTTTTATTGACCCCAAAACAGGGATGGTTTCTTCCAGAAAGCAGTTCACAGCGGGGAGTTACGACATCTTAACAGTAAGTGCTCTTTCATCAACATACAAACCCATGATTTGACTTTTTAAAACCAGCACTTTTATATAAGGATTGATGCATGACAGTGTTTAATGTATGACCTATATGCAAGTTCTCACTGTATTAAGAAATATTCATTCATATCTGCTGCTGAAAAAATGAGTCTGAGAGAGCATTCATGCTATTGAACTATTGTTCAGTCAACTTGCAAATTGTTGGTGTAAGTTGTTCCCTTGAATACAACAAAAATGAAGACCAAGGGTTCATCTGCTGAGGAAATTATATTGAATTGGGCAGATACAGCTATGAATGGATGTTCACCATCTGTGTAGACACAACTGCTTGCCCTCATGAAAGAGTCCTTATACTGTGCAAGTTAGGTGGCTTCAGAGAGGAGGAGTAATGTGTATGGTATGTCGTAACACCCTTCTCACCACATTAAAGAGTGTGAGTATGGCAGCAATTTCAGTTAAAGGAAATCTTGGTAAAAATACCTGTGCCAGAACTCAAACCGTATAGACAAGGTCAAAGGAAGAAAGAATATAGACTGGTGGTGTTGATAGAAAGCAATATAAGGCTTGAATGTGCACTCTTCATCTACAGCAGTAAGTAGTAGTTAAGGAGTTGACCAGAAATGATAAGTGATAGAAAAGTGTCTGGCCTGTAGTAAAGGAAACGATGTCACTTACAGTAATGGGTCTCCATTGAGATACCTTAATAGGCTTGGAAACTGACAGAAAAATGACTAAATATCAAAATATTGAGAAACTCCTAGTAATCAGAGTACAGCACCTGTTGGGTGAGTGCTTTTCCCTGTGCAGAGCTAGAAGTCGCATCTGGGACCTGAACCTTATTATAATGCAGCAGCTGAAAGTTTTCTACCTTGAAACTGCTCATCACACCCTCAGCCTCTTTTCACTAAGGGCCTGCCACGGAGCAGAGTGATGAGTGGTAGCATCAAACCCACTCAACACATTTCCAGAGAAAGAAATAGGGTATGGTATTTCAGGAAAACATTTCCCATTTTTAACAGGCATAGTAACAACACATTTACACCAGCGGTCCTATATAGCCAGAAGCATTTCCTTTGGTTTTGAAAGAAAAACCCCTTTGACTGACATTAATGTTACTTACCAAAGCACCCATTTTGTAACCTACCTTCTCCCTTTCCTTAAGCTCAATGTTTGTTACTGCTTATCTTGTCTTTGCTAGGCTAAAGCCATAAAGCATGCCAGGCAAATATCAAGTCTCTCCATCCCTCTGGAGGATATTATAATAAAAAGAATTAGCACCAAGCTGGGCAACTTTTAATGAACATGACTGAGAGCATCGAATATAGATATGGCAAAATTTAAAATTACATTTGTTTTGGAGAATGGGGGAAATTATCTGAAACTTATTTAACTCAATTAAAGATCCTCAAGAAGGCAATGTAAGGAAAAACAGCCTTATCTCCAATACAGATGCCATTTAATAGCAATCAGGCATGGTCTGGGTGAGCATGTGTCGCACATGCATGACACCCCACAGGGTCATTATAGAACTCCCAGCTTTGCTGCCAGAGGGATCTGGGCGTAAGTTGAAATTAGAGAGGGAAGCTGGTTCTGGAGAGGAAGCTCTGTGTGGGGAATGCTTGAATTGCATCTCCAAAAGGCTTCGCACCAGCATTTTTAAACCAAAACATTTCAGTTTAAAATCAGTCTTTTCAGTGAAAAGTCAAAGTGTAAAAGACCAAAATTACAATTAAGAAGAATTGCTTATATCCCTCTTTTTTTCATGGCATTTTACCTAGGAGATTACAAAGGCCATTTTCCAAGCAGGCATCATCATGCAGTAGAATTAGGTCTGAACTGCCAAGCTGTCATGCTCAGTCTGAGTCCTCTATTCTTTGTACCTGCCAGATAAAAGCAGTGGACAATGGCCGGCCCCAAAAGTCTTCAACTGCACGCCTCCATATTGAGTGGATAAAAAAGCCTGCACCCTCACCCGTGCCCCTGACTTTCGATGAACCCTTTTACAACTTCACCATCATGGAAAGCGATAAAGTGACTGAAATCGTTGGGGTGGTCTCGGTGCAGCCATCTAACATTCCTCTCTGGTTTGATATTGTTGGTAAGTTGGGAGCCAGTGGTGCGAGGAGGACACTTCAGAAGCAAAGCATATGGATGTGTTGTTTTGAGAGCAAGAAAACTAACCATGAATTGTCCCCCCAAAATTTAAACCCACTTTTGTAATGCTGAAATGAAAATGCTGTTCTAATATAGTGATAACAATAATAATAGTAATGATAATATTCCTGCTTTTGTTACGACTCCTTAGCTAAGCTGAAAAAAGCGCTGTATGGCTGAATTGTTTTTTTTTCATACTATGTTATTTACTGCAATCTTAATGTTGTCTGTCATTTAAATTCTATTGTCATACTTTGCTAATCTCATTTCTAAATGTATTTATGGTACTTAGACTTGCTGTCCCCCATTTCTCTCTTTCTTCACCTTTTTTTCTGCATTCTGTTCTTTTTTTTCTGCTTCCGACTGCCCTGCTTCAAGGTGGCAAGCATGCTCGAGAGATGTTCTATATTCTACAGACAGCTTGTGGGCAGAACTGTTCAACAGAAGGTACCCTTAGTGCAAACACATTTGCTAAACTACAACTATCCAGGCTGCCTTTTATTTTTGCAAGTTCTTTGAGACAATTTATATTACATCTTTCATAAGTGCCTGTGACAGGATGCGATGCGACACATGGATGTGCTGCGTTTATTTCTATGACAGCTTTTACCGTACTTGTGTCCAATTATTATCATTTTGTTCACGGATTTTCCACAGTTTATCACAAATAATTAATTCAAACTTTTCACAGTCCAGTGCCATCCATTTAACTGTGAAACAGAATGGGATGCATCAACATATGGGTTACAAATGGAGCCACCAAAAGTTTGTCTTGAATGCAAGCTGAAAAAAAGAAATGTGTTTGGATGTGAGATTTCAACCATAAAATTGCCTTACATAAAATTGCTTATAAAAATAGGGAGGGAGGAATATCTTTAGCAAAGAGAAGGAGAAGCCATCCGTAACGGTCTTAAAATCACAGGGAAATGCCACTAAGGATGTAGCTGCCAAAAGACCGGGAGTAGAGGGTCTCACTTGGTTGCAGTAGAGAAACAGGAATCAATGTCCATAAGCATTTCTTTCCCTTTTCTTCAGCTGATTCAGTTATGTCATTTAAAATAACTCACTTGCAGTCCCCAAAACGAAACTTTCCCCAGCATCACAACAACCCTGCAAAGTTACTGTGCTACTTAATATTTGCTAATAGCAGTGCATAATATTTGTGTACCTTTGGATGTAAAACACCGTGTCTGCACAAAGTGGTGTCATTTAAATGAGGAGTTATAAAGGAAATACTGTATGAAAGATTAGAGTAACAAAAGCCTTTGCCACAGACTTAGTGGAAAGGTTGCATCAGCAGTCTTTATTTACAGGGATTGAGCCTGGCTCTCATTTCAGCATAGCTGTTGGTGGATGGGTTTAGCCACCAGGAAGGACAAGGAGCACAAGTGATAGGGTCTGTCAGAGTCACTTTTGTCCACCTTTTATTGCCAGTTTGTGCAGATGAAAGACAGAAGCAGCAACATTTCCTCTTTGAATTTGTAACACAGTTTGTGATGTGCCAACCACATTAAAACTAAACCCAAAGCTATTATCATGTTCTAGGGTTCCTGCTAGCCTCTGGGGAAGGACAGCATGTGTTTCCTACAGTTTTCTTCAAATTCTCTTGGTTATTTCAGTATCCTTCATGCAATTTATTAGCTAATGTTTATATTCCCTTTCTCTTCTTCAACGACTCTAACTTTCCTCCCGGGAGAAATCCATCTTTATTGAGGTTGTTGACACATTTTCCCATTTGAACCTTTTGCTGGACTCCTCTGCCTTTCGCAGCTTTTGGTCCTTCCCTTGGCGAATCCACTGACTCTCATTAAAATGCCGCCTGTGTGAAGCACTGAGAGAAGCCCCAGCTCTTCCGCTGCGTTCTTTTACATTATTAGAGTCAATTGCAATCCAGTAAAACCTTATAATAATGTTTCATTTTTTGCCTACCAAACAGAGATGATGGGGAGAGCATTACGAAATTTAAGCCTTTAATTTATCATTTAGTGTGACCTTTATGGCTAAAATAGTTCAAATGGTTTGGAAGGAGATTTTTGCTATTTAAACAACCCTAATAGTTTCCCTATAGGCTGTAGCTTCTGGTGCTGCTACATGATGCATCACTGCAGAGGGTGATGGAGACAGAGCTTCCTTAGACTTAATGAGAATTCAGTGACCCTGACCATCCTGTTCACTACTGTTACCATATGAATGTTGTAATTAAATATTACTGCTGTTATAAATAATAGCACTAGCAACAGCATCCATTTTTACAATAGGAATAGCCAACAATCCTGGACATGTGGATCTTCTTGTTCCAGACACTCTGCATACAAGGTCCAAAGACAAAACCCATCCTGAGAGGTTTATAGAGTGCTGTATATTTAGATTATCTTTGATGCCTCTACTCAGTGTCAGTATCAAAATCACTTTTTCTCCTTTTTCCTCAATACCATCATGTGGAAAAAAAGTTGTTGATACTTTCCTTTTGGGGAGACATTGAGGTTTAGTGCTGAAAAGCACAATGAAAAACATGGTTTATTAGTAGAAGTTGGTTGTCATGTATGGAGGGCTCTATGAGACTGCTGATGCAAGAGATGGTTTCTGTGCTGCTATAAAACCTAGACCTGATCCTGCTCCATCTGGTATTTTGTGATTTTGGACCTCCGTGCACAGTTCACTGTAATGTCAACAAAAGCCCTGAAGGCTTATGTAGAGGCAAGGTTTAATATAGAGTTTGCAGCTTGACCTTTATGTTTATGAGCTTTTCAAACTAAATGGGCATTGGAATACCAGAGGACCTCTTTTTTAATGCATAACGTGCACTTTGTCCCAGCTAAAAAAAAAGAAGGGAGGGTGGATGAAGTTAGGCTGTGTAGTATTCTGTCTGCCTAACTTCAGCATTTAATTTGCACCTAAATTATATACCCTTTGAATAACTATTTAAGTTCTTTAGTTTATCAGCTCCAAAAGAGGAAGGTGCCTTGCAGGCAGGGAGATCACCTTCCCTCCATGGACTAGAGAGGAGCAGGAGGCTTACCTGTTTGTTTGTTTAATTGGGAATGGTTGAGATGTCATACCTGGTTTCTGTTTTCAGACTGCATTCAACACCATTCTCAGTTCATGCAAATCCCACAATATGAACGATATGAACATAGGTTGTTTCAGTTGTGTTAAATGTATTCAGTCATTTACGAGAAACTGGTTTTCAATGGGAATTCCAAAATAAGTCAAGAGATCTTTATTTCTCCCAGGTAAATTGAGCCCTCACTGTCTCTTCCTTTGTTAGTGGTGGGAATGGTGTGATGACTACTTTGACACTGGAGCTAAGCTGCATGGTGCTAGTTTTTGCTTAAGTAGCATGTTGCACAACATCTCTCTGATTCTCCAAACAGGCCTCTCTCTATCTTTTCTTCTTCCTCCAGCCTATGCCTTTTTAAGAGCAGTCAAACTTTAAAATCACATCAGAACTTTTTATCAAGAGTGCTTAAATGGCAATAATGTTAATATCTATTAATTTTAATTAATAGTCCATTTAATTCACAGTGCTGCAAATTTTCACTAACATCAAAAACATGTAGCTACCTAGATTCCTTTGAATTATCTTCTCTGAGAACTATCTAAAATACCTTTCTAATTTCTTTTCTGCTTTTTGTGCCTTTACCTTCAGCTTCTTAGCAGCAAACCCAAGGCTTTGACTCTCCTTACAGTAGTTTTATCTGAAAATTCAGAGTCTGCATTATTTTATTCTTCTTAGCATGATATAATACATAAAAGAACAAATATTTGCATATTACATTACTAATATTTATTATGTTATGATGAACAATTGTCTGTAGTTGAATTTGTAATTCTTGAGGCAGTCGCTAAGTTTATTTCATCTTTTTTAAAAACAGAAACATCAGAAATTTTGGCTTTGCTTCTTTTCCTGAAAATCCTAGAAGTACTTTACGCTCACCTTTGAGTTTCAGGGTGAATTAGTTTTCTGCATTTTCCTTTGATTCTCTGCTCTGAGCAATATGAGAATTGTAGCAATTAGCCCGATTTATCATCACTGTCCTTGGTGGTGTTAGTTTACTTTGGGACAAGAAAAGTAAGAATCTTCTCTGCTCCAAGAGAATGTGTTTTAGAGGACTGTTCTCTGAATTAGATCATCTCCTGTGTCTCTTCTTCTCCACTCGTCCATCATGGCATGGCAGGCCAAATGAGACTTGTGTGAAGATCTCAGTATATCATGGCTTTATTGAGTTTGAACATGGAGTATGTACGTTCTTTGCTATCTATCAGTGAAGAAAGACTCTTGCCAGGTTTTAGCTGTATTTGAGTTGGGGACATCCCCCAAAGTTCAGTGTGATCCATTTTTGCATCCAAGACTGAACAAGTCTGATTCTCCACAGTCATAAGATATTTCTGAGATGTGTATTCAATCCCACTCTTCTGGATCATTCCACTGGAAAAGAGGGAAAAAAGTCTCACATCGGGCTCCCTTGCCTACAGGTCCTTCAAATTTGCTGACATGTTTTCTTCTGAGAGGAGAAAATAATTTTTCATGGCAGCATAATCCCATTTTAAACTGCATATCAGCAGCTGATAGAAACATAGGGAAAATCAACGTCTTCCCAAAAAGGAACCTCCTCTAGAAACAGAACTGCAAGAAACCTTCATTGCTTGCAAAAAATGAGATAACCAAAATACAGGCAGAATATGTCTGAAAATAATAATAATAAAAAAACCAAACCACAACCAGTGCTGGAATTCAAAAGGGACAGAGCTGCAAAACCCACATTTTGTGGGAATGCCAGATCTGCATTGGATCTTGCCTTAGGCGAATTCTCCAGCTGACCTCTAGAAATCCCTTTCAACAGTTCAAGAAGTTTTCCTTGGCCTGTCTGTTGCACAGCTAAATCCCTGATAGAATTAAATCTAGCCAGGGACATCAAGGACAAGAAGAAAAGCTTCTATAGGTGTGTCAGTGGTAAAAGGAATGCTAGGGAAAAATGTTCGCTCTCTCTGGAATGAAACAGGAGACCTGGTTACCTGTGGTGTAGAAAAGGCTGAGGTACTCAACAACTTTTTTTGCTTCCCTCTTCACTGGCAAGGGCTGAAAACTCTCCACACAAGTTGTGGAAGGCATCTTTAATCTGTATTGAAGATGTATCAGCATTACATCTTAACCTGCAGTGGTATTACAAACAACAGCTAATCCACATCTTTCTGAGGTCATTTAGTGTTAAAATGCTTTCCTGGGACAACCTGCATTGCCAGCTTGCCAGTTGAATCAACTTGCCTTCTGTATGGTTGATTTTCCCAAAGTACCTCAGGAACTCACAATGTATTATCTTCATTTGAAATATTTCTTTCCTAATGCGATTGCAAGCACATTAGCAAAGACAGCTTCTACATATCTGAAAGCAGGTTTTAGTAGACAATAAGAAGAAAAGCATATGCCATATGTTGGAAAATGGAATAAGTAATAAAAGTTCACATTAATAAAACTGAACAGCTGAACAAAATTTCCTGATCCTTAGCCCCCTTTCATCCTAAGATTGTAATCAAAGAAAATGTTAAATGGCCAATATTAACATTGGTAGAACTGATACTGCAGCAGCTTACAGCACTGCAAATGAGCTCCCTTCAAAAGGGTTGCTGGTTAGCTAGCAGCATGCTTTTGAAAACAGGCCTCAAGTACCTCAGAAATGTGTGAAGCTGACACCTCCTCAGCTGCCACCTCCTACGGGCTCAGGCCGTAGTCCAACCTCAACGTGAGCACCCTTGGAAAGAAGTGGTTTCATGTCAGGTTCCCAGAATAGTTGAACTGCCAGAGTTTTTAAGAGAAAAGTCCAGTTTGTTTTTACATGGCTGTTCTCTCTGTGCCTGTCCAACACCCATCTTTCAAAGGTAATTGTGTTGGGTGCTTCTATGGGTGCTTCGTAGTAGGCCTTGCATAGACTTAACACATCCGTAAGACTCTCAGAGTCTAACATTTGCACCTAATTCATTAATTATTCTTCAGTGATTAAGTGCAACTTCAGAAGTGTTCATCACATGAGGAGCTGCTTTGAGGGTATATGAAGGCTGAGGAGCAGTACGAAGCATTTCCAGACTGCCTCTAGTACACCAGATGAGAGGCAGGACCCAGTATCTCAGGCAGTATTACCAGAAATTCAGCCATTTGAGTGGATTGTCATTGTCAGCAGCTGACTGTGGTCTGTTAAAATGTACCAGACTGAACTAGGAATAAATCAAGTTTTCATTCCAAAAAAGATTATAAACACAAATCCCACAGCAGGAAGTTCTCTGATCCATCTCTGTTTCAGTCTTTGATGCAGTTTCTGCCTTGTTTAATAGAAAATGAATCAATGTAGAATAAAGTGCATTGCCTGGTTAGTTAGAAGTAGGCTAGAGTGGGGTGGCTGGCAACTAAAATTTATTTGTTTGTCACTAGACCATTTTGGAAGCTGTGAATACCATATAAAAAACTGATATGATGGATTCAGTTCTTATTTTAGGTGAAGAACATGTTGCACTTGTTTAAAATGGCTTGAAGATGTCAGTGTATTTGCAATACACTCTGTAATGCTCTGCAAACCCAGCTGTAAGCCAACGAAGGATATTGCTAATCCTTCCGTGTTGCTGCTTGGAAGTTTTAAAGGCAGGGTTTCTTTGGAAGTGTATGCCAGTTGATAGCATATGATTTTTGATTGCTCATTAAGCATCTTCAAGTATAGACTTTCATTTTGTTTTCATGGTCATCAGTGTGAAACATTCTCTTTGTAAAGTGCTTACTGTCCCAACACTAACTTCATTGCAGCAGAGATTTCCTTGCAAGAATCTCAATCTCTCTTCTTCAAAGGAGGCTTTTTTCAGCGTTAATTTTCATGGTATGATTTTTCTCAAGTAAATCCATTTAAAACATTAATTGGGACATGGCATCTTTTTCATCCAGATTAACTTTTATAATAAAAAAACCCCAAACATTGAAGACATAATCAGTGTACAAACACCTTGGCATGCCTTAAATGTCAAGGACAATTATGCTTTTTTTCCCTAGTGTCAAATAGTGTTAAATATATATATATATATAAAGAGAGAGAGAGAGAGAAGTATACAATTCGGGCTTGCAGAAGGAGTTTAGAGAGTAAGCAGTGTTTCTAATCACTGTAAATCACAGCAGATCTAGTGTCAGTCTTTTCCGGGAGAAACTGCACCTGCATCTGTTAGACTCAGAGCTGTATACATATATTGAGCATAGGGAAGGCTGGTGGCATGTCTCAAATGACCACATTTGGATCATTTCAGTGGGCAGAAGTCACCAATTCTGCCATTCCTTTGCGCAGGTCACCCACGCTCATATTCCTTCTCCCCCTTTCTTCTCCTACTTCCTGATGGCCTCCAAGGCACACATGGACAGAGTGATGCTTCTTCTAGTGTACACTTTCCGTGCAAGGTGTAGAGAGAAGTGAAGGTTTCTTCGTGTTAAGGAATTCAAGGACTGCAGTTTTGCTGTGATTCCTCCTAATCTTCAGCTTCTTGGAATGCCAAAACCTTTTTCCTCTCAGTAAATGCATGACTGTTTCTGAGAGTAATGCTGGTTGTTGGTCAGCAAACCGCGCAGATGCAAGACCTGATGGTAGAGCAAGGAAAACTGTACTCATTGCTTCTCTAAAGCCCTAAAATGAGAGACATTTTGTGATAATGCACCAGCCATTCAAATTTCTGTCTACCTATATATACACATATATATATGTAGCATGAGAGCTAAGCCAATGGAACGGGTATTTTTCTACCTGTGGATCTAATACCAAGAGATCTGAGCATCTCTTACCCAAGTTTTATAACCAATGGGGTTTGAAAACCTTTTCCACTTTGTAGAACTGGGTTGTCAGAGATTTTAGGTAGTGGCATTGCATTGCTGTGTGATAAATATACCTTAAGAATTCATTTGTCAGCAGTGTTGTGTTCCACCTCTCTCTGTGCCCAGCCTCCAAAAATTTCAGACTCAACTCATAATGAATTCCACTTTATAGATGAGTGAGTAAAATGCAGCTTAGCAGCAGGAAGTGTGTGCTTTCCCTCTGAACATAATGAGAGATTCTAATTTATAAACTCTATCTGTGGCTGCGAAATCCTGTAACCCTTTAATCTCGAATTATTTATAGCTCTCTCTTTTTAAGAGATTTTTTTTCCTTCTTTTTCCCTTTTTGTCTTTCACCTGAAACTCAAGAGGGTTTTTCCACTGCCGCATCACTCAGTGTGTGACAGGATAAAGGGATATTAGTTTCAGAACAGTGCTTTGTGAAGGTTTCTTTAATGGAAAGGAATTTGTGATGTGTATCCTGTCAGATCTATTTAAATAATTCCTAAAAGACTAGTAGAATTTGACCTTTGCTGCCAGTAATTATCATTGTCCTTGAAATTAACATAACAAATGTATATTTGCATTTTTTAAATTGATTATAATTGTAATTTTTAAAGACTCGGTGACGGTCTTTGAACTCATGAGCATCAGTGAGAATTTCCTGAAAATAAAATTTGCAGAATAAAACCCTCTTAAAATGATTTTTATACAAAAATATAATTGTGCTTGTTCATTATCCAAACTACAAGGGCACGCATCTTATGGGCTTATAGCCATTTAATTCTTTTTATAGAGTCAGTTACGGTTCACTTAAATATACTGCTAGTTTTGGGGTTTTTTTCCTTGCAGTGCATTTTAATGATATCTGCTTTCCAATATACAAACTGTGCTTTGAAATATAAATGAGTTATGAACAAAGAAGTATCAGTAAATGTACTGTGTATGCTAAGGCAAGCCGTTAAGATGGATGCCTGTAAACAGATATGCCCACTTCTAGGAACATTTTCAATGAAAATCTTCCAGAGATGGCTAATTTAACTGTATTTTTGTGCAACAATTAGGAGGGAATTACGATAGTTCTTTCGACGCGGAGAAGGGAGTGGGCACTATTGTCATTGCAAAGCCCTTGGATGCAGAGCAGAGGTCAATATATAACATGACTGTGGAGGTCACCGATGGAACAAACATTGCCACGACTCAGGTAGAATATCACGTTTCTTTCTTGGCAAGTTTTTCATTTGTTAGTGGAATGTATATGCTATAAAAATTAATAATTTTGCCATTCAAATAAAACCTCATTTTTTTTGACCACCATTATCTAATGGAGGGGATATTTTTCAAAGCCTTTCCATCTGGTTGTAAAGAATCGGCTGTTGCATGTTTCAAAGCATTATTTCTCCTTTTGTCCTCTTCGTGCTCACACGGAAGTAATTTGCCTTCCTCCAGCTGAGGGAGTCCCTGTCACGGGCAGCAAAGCTCAGATTTTGACAATTGTATCACCCTGTCATGGTCCAAAATACAATAGTGCTTCTGTGGTGTTGGGGAATATTGCTATTGATTGTATTAAATGCAGTTTATACATCTCATCCTCCTAAGATCCAAATGTGGGACACAGGATCAATTGTTCAGAGAATAAATTGTTCAGAGACAAAACTTAAAATTCAAAAGATCTCTCCTTTAGTGTCACTGCCTGCAATTACATTGTTTTCTGGGGAGCAGCCCCCGGGAACCTTTTCAAACCAGAATCAGCTATGCTTATTAGGCACAGTGTCTTTCAGCAATTAAAAAGTCAGGTCAGATAAACATGAAGGGCTGAGATAGTGCTGGCTCTGACACATCCCTGTTGGAGAGACCCTGATGCAGAGCTTGGATATCTGTTTGGTGAAACCAGTCTTGAGTTGGGACATGGTCAGGGTCATGGCCCAGGGACAGAGAGTCATTGGTCCAGGTGGCACCAGGGAGACTCCAAAGAGCAAAAACCTTCAATACGAGCTGAAGCTGTGTGGTATGGATTAGGTAGGGCCTGAAATCCTACATCTGAATTATTGCTCAGGTGTAAAGTGTGCCTATAGCCTGGATAGTATTTAACATATAGGGAAAAATACATTCTGGCAGAGGACACCTGTGTGCAGCCTCAAATCCCTGATTAAATGTGGTTTACAGAGGAAATGAAAAAAACAGGTTTGTAGTGTTATTTGCTTCTTTGTAATGCAGAAGGAAGGCCTGAACATTTTTTATATTTACATATATGCATGTCCATGCAGATGCTTCTGTTTTACCTTGCCCTTTTGTTCAAATGATTCAGATATAAATCTGTATTCACTGGGTCACAACACCAACTTTCCTAAGAGACTGTTAAATCATTGAGTGCTTTCTCAATGTGAATTCCTTTAATAATCAGCCCTAAAATTGCTATCTAAGTATCCCTATCTGATAATTTCTCCTGATAATCCACTCTTGAGAAGAAAACATCAGTTGATAGTAAATGAGGTGGTAGGAAATCTGCTATTTTCACTGTTAGTTTCAGTAATTAATTGCATCTGTGCTAAAAACATCCCTTATTTTTAACCTGATTGTATCTGGCTTGTATTCCCTGTTATGCCCTTCTCTGCTCGATTAAAGAGCTCTTTAAAAAACAGTATTCTCTCCCCAGGAAGACACTTCAACGAAATAGTCAAATCACCTCCCTGTCTTATGATGGACGAGCAGAGGAGAATGACTGACCTCTTTATGTTCCCATTCCATAAGGCATTTTCTTCAGCCCTTGAGTAGTTTTTAGTTTTGCTTTGGTTTTTTAATCTTGGCAACACTCTCAGTCCACTTTCTAGAAATGTGGTGTTGAATCCCTAACATGATTTTTTTTCTTGCAAACATTTCAGCCAAAGAAATGTTGAAAAGCACAGGGAATTTCAAGCATTCTGGATAAAAGTAATTTCTCTTCTCAAGGATATTATGTTTATTGTTTTTGCTGCTTTTGATTTAGTAAATTGACCCATATAACAGTCCTCAAAACCTATTTTGATGAAAACCCTACATTTTTAATTAAAACATATGGTAAAAACATATTTCAGTAAAGCTGTTGCTTTCTAGAAGATGCCAGAGCATTCTTTGTAACAGTGATGTAACCTGTTTAAAAATGTATGATAGTCATTTAAGATTGCTATAGTACAACATTAGATAATAATTGGTGAGTACAGACCCTTCTTTCCTCCACCTCCTTCTCTCCATGTGGTTGCTGTTGTGAGTATTTAATTGTGGCCTGGACAACATCTGAGAATGTGTTTCCTTTAGTCTTCACAACAGAGATTTCAAAAGCGATCATTATCTCAAAGCTGCCAGAATTATGGCCTGCCTAATTATCTCTGTCTTTTACAAAACTTTCATACTGTGTTTTTGACTGTACTTTGGAGCCTTTGGATACCTTATTCACCTTTATTTCATTTTAGAACAATAAAAAAAAATCAAACTGATAGGTTAAGTATAATATGTCATAGAAAGAGTCAAAAAGGCATCTACAGGTGGCTCTCAGTGGTCTTGTTCTGAGTTTTGATAAAAGGACATTGTAAGTATTTTGTCTCATATATATAGTACTACCTACATTTCTAACTATGGCTGCAAGAAGATACGGTAGAAGAGGAAGCAGATGAAAAGCAAATGTATAGATTCATCCCAGTGTATAACAATAAAATAATATGAAGCCCTACTCTAAGTGTGATGGTTTATTATGAAACAGCTGACCATTGTCATGACAAATGGAGCAGGCTTGCGTTTTATTCCACCCCACCTGTTTCCCTTTATCTCTTCCCAGCCTTTTGTTTATTACACAGTTGGAGGTGGTAAAATACAGCTTAAAAATCCCAAAGATTTTTGCTTCGGTAATGTGATCCCTGGCACGGACTTGCAGAAGTTTCTTCAGCAATGTTCCTGCACACCCTAGACTCCAATAAACTGAGCACTTCCTTTGTGCCTTGCTGCACACATGGTTCACTACCATACGAGGAGAGGAAGGAAATAATTTTGATTTAAAAGTTACACCTGTTTTATTAATGGTTAGCAATTGTGAAAAGAGGTGAAAAGAACATAAGAAATATTTTTTTTTTAAATACAAAATGTTGCGGACTGCCTTTGTAACTGAAAGCCTATTTTGTTTGGGCATGATCAGGATTTCAAAAGGCACTACAGTCTCCAAAATGAGAACCAAAGTGCCAGGACATGTTGAGTCACTGACACTCCCTGTGCTGTCCATCCAGCTGAGCCCCAGCCATCCCAGCAGCACAGCCATGATGGGCAGGGATGGAGGGGGCAAAAGATGAAGAAACATTCTCGTTTTATTTATATATTTGGACTGTGAGTACAAAGCTTCTGTCATGTTGATTAACTTATAGGAAGGCTAAGTCTCCTGACTTAGCCAGGAAGAACTTTTAGGTTTTTCCCTTAGCTTAATTCATCATTGCTCCAGGCCATGTGGTAATTTATTAAAGGCTGAAGCCATACCTTGGCTCTAAATCCCTGCGAAATGCGATTCCTGCAGCTGCCAGGCAAGCTGCTGGCCTTGGGGAGAGGACGGGGCTTCTGCATCCTCCATTGGAGAGAGCCGGGACAGCAGCTCTGCGCAGTGACCCTGCTCCTCACCACCGCCACCACCTCCCTGCAGGCTGGGAAAGGGTCTTTTGGCTTCACTTAAGCAGAGAGTGGACTCTCCCAACAGGAAATCAGTGTAATGGCATCTAAATGCCTACTCGTGACACAATTTTGACTAACTTTGACTGTGTAACATTAGAGGTTCTCTTGGTCATCAGTCAGGTATATCCCAAAGCCTCCTTTTTTCACTGAACACTTCAGATCCTTTTCGTTCCATCACAACATAGGAGTAGCGTTTATTTATTTCTTTATAGTGCATACTGTTGAGTTTTGCTAAAATCCCCACAGAAATACAGTACAGTGGGGAACAATCATCTAAGTGGTGATAATTTTCACTTTTATTAAGAATGTTTTACTAACAGATAATTATTTTTTTATTAAAGATCAGACTCTTGGAGTCATGGTATTATATGAAAAGGACAGTTTTACTTCTTGCTTATTTTCTTACCTTCTCCTTTATTCTCCTTATCCTACCCACTATTAAAAAAAATTATGCTTTAAAGAATGAAGGCTGATGCTTCCAAGGTAGGAGGTGAAAAGTGCCTCAGTTTCATTTATTGCAAAACCATCTCAATATTTCCCAGTCGAGTGGACAGAGAGAGACATGCAGTTTCATCTGAAAAGTTTTTGTAGATCAGTACGTGGTCACTTGTAATACCTTTGCTGGATGGAGCCAACCAGGCTGGAAGAGCAGACAGGAGAAGTTACTGCTCCTTGCCCCTTTCCGTCTCTCCTTGCAGAAGATTGTGGACTTACTGTGGACTTTTATGGATTCTTCTGCTTCGGATTGACCTTTAGCTGCAAGTTTCAGGATACAAAACTTAGTCTCACCTTTCAGAGAACACCTTTGCTTTACAAGATTGTTTCGTAACAAAGAGGACCTGATCAATCCCCCTGAGTATGAGTAGCTCTTTTAACTGAATGGTGAAAAGCTCTTCTTGGAGGCCCACAGTCAGTCTAAGACATTAGAGCCTGCCAGAAGAGGTTCCAGGCTGTGGATTCTTCTAGGACGGACAAGAGGACATGGGGTTTCAATTCAGTTTTTCACATTTGCTCAATGGAACATTTCCTCCAAACTGGAACCAACCTAATCCTTTATTTTTTTCTGTCCCATCCCATGACCTCAGCACTGCCTTGCCTGTGAAACAAAGACCTTACCACCCATTTTAACATAACACAAGGGGCACGGTAAAGTATGAATAACAAGCCACTGAGGTTGGTAGGGAAACTGCATTTTTTTGTTAAGTTTGGGGATTGGAGGAGAGAAAAACCTGTCAGGAAGCAGCAAATAAAGCTGTGTGGTAACACTATTGAAAGCCATATTAAATCAAAATACATTTTCAAAACCCGTACAGAAGTGTAACCTGAGTTTAAGCAATTCAGGCACTTAATAGGTTGTACTACAACACTGTGCCCAGACCAAGCAATTAGCCAAGCAGATTCTTCCAGCCTCAATTGTCTCTAAAGCAGCTCCTGGCATTTACCCAGTTTTCACTCAAATACGTTTGTGCCTAAACCAAAGGTATTTGTGATGGGCAACATTAAAAACAGCTTTGGAGAGACTTCCTGCACTAGGTTTTGTTCTGCTTTGATTTGATTGTATTTCTCTGGGTCTTTCACTTACCATTTTGGATACAAAGTCTTTGCTGATGCTCTGAGTGTTACTTTGCCTAATTTGTAAGCTTGGAAGCCTGTGAATCCTTTATTTGAAGGTTGCTGTAAGTGTGGGAAATAGGAAGTGAGCAGGGAGAAGCAAATCTTTTATAGTGAAGTGCTTGTTCGGACTATAAATTAGGCTCTGCACAATGAAAGCAGAAGGAGACAAGCCTGCCTTTCTGAAGCCCGCGACACGCTGGAAAAGATACAAGCTTTCAAGGATAACCAGGCAGAGACTGCTTTGCTGTGTGTTTGCTTTATGAGCGTGGAAAAAGACTTGCAGCTAATGTTTGTCTATGAAAAGTGGTTTAGTCAGTAACCTTGCACAGTCCTCAGCAAAAAGGAACCTCTTACTTAGCAGCAAACAAATAATAAACATTTCCATTTGTCACCTTTTGGAGATGTGTTGGGAAACTTTTAAAGCCTGTCTTTGATTTTACATAATGGCTATTGTCACAGCTTAACACCCCAGGCACCTACTCAGTAATAAAGGATATTTATGCAATGCAGCTTATTTTTGCCATATCTTCTGTTTGGAAATGAATATGAAGAAAGTATTCAATTACACATACACTATGTATCTTTGAGTCGCTTCAGTAGGATAACACTTGATTTTGGGTGAAAGACATGATGCAGGCTGGCTAAAGCTTAAGGCTTCAAGAAGCAGAGTGCTGGCCCTTTTTAAGCCAATGGGAAATTTGCCAGTAGCACCAAGACTTTATGCCTAAGTTTGGCAGCCATTAAATGACTTTGAGCAACTTTCCTTATATTAATGATCAGGTGGCATTCGGCTTACTCAGCTTCACATATGTTTGTAGGATCAGGTTGTCTATGAGCCCAGTGTTCACATCAGTAAAACATTTCTCCATTAGAAAAGGAAAAGATTGTCCCCTCTTTTTAAGTAACACCTTGCTAGAAGTCATCTTGCTGGAGCAGGAAATCATCTGTGTAGGAAGGTGACATTTTAAGGTGACCTAATAAAAGCAGGAGTGGCTCAAAAATAAACCTAAACCATCTTCCCCACCTTTGCAACTGCACTTCTTGTGTGGTTTTGGCAAGTCATTTAGCCTTGCTGCAAGGCAGTGTTATCCTGGACAAAGGATGGGGATAACAATAGTCACTCCTCAAAAATGTTGTAAGGATCAAAGGACTAATATCTATTTAAAATAGCACTTAAGTTCCATCTTATTTTACCTGATGTATTAGGTAGCTCCCAAGACAGTTAAATTTTTAAGAACATAAAAGAGTTCAATTTTCTTCTTTTCCATAGCTTGTGGGTTTAACGGAGCTATGTAGAATCTGTATTCCCATACGTAATCTAACTTTCTTTTGTTGCAAGGAAAATCCAACCTCCCACTAGTGAAGGAGAGACTGTAATGTTAAAATTACAGTTGAATTTTGGGGATTTTGAGGGACAGCTGAAAAAAATTAGAAATACTCTTAACTGCTTTAATAGAAGAAATTGCGAATCAATAATGACCTCTATTCGTTAGCATCTCTAACCCACTGCCTTCTGTCTCCAGATGGAAGTGGCTATTGAAGTGCAGGGTATGTAATAAATAATGCGTATTTCAATGTGAATCACTTGACAAATCCTTAAAATACTGTCATCTCTGGGGAGGAAGATGCCTGCCACTTAAACAGGCACTTGATCAGTTTTACAGTAGATACAAAGTGAAATTAAAAAAACAAAGAAACAAACAAAAAAAACAACAAGCAAAAAACCCCAAACAAACAAAACCAAACAAAAAAACCGCACAAAAATACCAAAAAAAAAATAAACATAAACAAAACAAAACTGGAAACTATCGAAGCCATTTTAAGTGCATATTTCCCCCTCGGTTTGATGACCACAGTGCATGATGACCTCAGTTTTTTTATCTTTTCACCTCTCCATGCCTCCCACTACCCAAGCACCATCATGGTCCATATATGTGTATCAGGGTATTAGCTTATACCTTTTTCAGTGGGAAGTAATGCTGCTTTGTGAATCCACACTGTAATTTCCATAGTCTCTTGGCTTATCTTTAGTCTCTGCTGCTGATCCAATCCCACCCTGTTTATTTTATGCAGTCTAGTGAAAGCACAAATCACAGAGCCATGGCTTGTACAGTCACGGTGCAAGCTTTGTGGTGGATAAAGCTCTATGCCCTCCTTTGCTTTCCCAATTTGCCAGTGATCCCAAAATGCATTAGGTATAATGGGAAGTGAACCCCAGCAGTGGGCTGATCACACACCGCACAATCAAAACAGCATGTCTCCCCTGTAGCAATACCTTTTAAGACACATTGGTGTACACCTGTACTTTTTTTTTTTGTACAGAGTATCTTGATCTTGCACACAGCAGTGTTAAAAACAAATTCACAGATATGTGCCTGTCCCTCACATGGAAGCTTACCTGTTTAAGGTGAACTGTGCTATATGAGCATCAGCAGAATCAAACACTCTCAGTATTTTCAATCTAATCAATTTGAAAAGTTTTTGCTTCTCAGACTATCTAAAAGGATACACAATTTGGCCACCAATTAAATGTAAAACACATTGTTGTCTGTGTTAACAATGCAGCAATAAAATAATCCAGCCATGTTGCAGTAGTACCTGACAAGGACTGAGGGTAGCTAAACTGCTTAAGACACCTTTAAGTATTCAACACTGGTAATCAGATTATCCGCCAACTCATATTGCTTCAGTGTCTCTTCTTTACACTAACCAAAGTGGTTCAGCACTGCCTTTGTGTCCCATTACAGTAGAGTTTAAGTCTTTCATTTTTTCCTTGGGCTTTCTTTTATATATTACATCTCATTTCCTCATATTTTTCAGATGTGGTTTTGGCTATTTTTTTTTCTCAGTCAGGTCAGAAACACGCCTTGATATATTATACAGCAAGAGCAAAAAATACAAAAAGCTAAGTAAGTCTTCATCATTATTATAGGCCCAGTGATGTATATTTCCCCCAAATTTTATTGCTATCTGTCCAAGATTGAAGCATAACTTAATAGAGGCTTCGCCCTACTTCACTCTGGCGTACCATAATCTGGTGAAAATTAAATTGTATGGAATGTGCAGTTGAAGTCCTATGCCATTTAACTTACAGAGCATTTTATTTCAGCTGTCTTTTAAACAGTTCCCAGGCTAGTTCATTACGACTGCTGCTTAAAATTGCTTATGTTCCTTCTGGTAATGTGTTCTGCTAAACCTTCCACATATCATGGAAATCTAAATTTAATTTCTCTCTGAGGCCAACATCTGTTTGTGCAATACTGCAGTAAAAGTATAACTGTATTTTTCTTCTGTTAAGAAAGTATGGGTGAACAGGGCTTGATCAAACAAAGTAATAAAATATTGGCTTAATAAAGAGCCAAGTAGTTTTCAGAACAACAGAGAAAACATCATGAGGGATGGGTCAAGTCTCGTAGTCTTAGGGAAGGGGCCTGTGCATGGCCTTTCCCATGTCGTTCATTGGACTATTTCCTATTTCAAAGCCTTTGAATAAAAAGGTTGTTCCATTTCACTCACTGTAAAATTAAGTGTGTGATTTCACAGGCGTATACTGCAAAAGATACATTTTTTTGTTTCCAGTACTGAAAAAGAGGCAATTCTTTACATTTTGTCTTTCAGTATTACATATTTTACCTGGTTTTACTCCCACGCTGGCCAAAGTAATCTATGGCATACAAAGTCTGGAAAGCAGATTTTCTCCAGGGAGTGACACCTCCAATGGTGAAAAACTCAAAACCTCATCAGAGCCACACACACATAACATTGTGTAGTCACATAACTTTTAAAAGGCAAAGCTTGGAAAATAGTGATCCTTATTAGTTATCAGGGTAGGCTTGTGCTATATTGAAATGGGTATAATAGGCAGCATCAGCAGCATCCTGGCTGCCTCCCCCCTCTACGAGTTGCTTTACTGAGGTTTTGAAGACAGACTTGAAGCAAGTGGCAGCATTCATTCACATTTTTAGCAAAAGTCCAAATGTTCATAAACTACAACAGAAGGGAGGCAAATAGATGTTCAAGGGGAAAGTGAGTTAGTTGGCAATAAAGACAACCAACACTGGCAACAGAAGAGCAAGGATGAAACCATAGAAATAATCTTGGAACATTTTCCAATCTATTAACACTGAAAATATAGACTTCCTTGTCAGGCTCTGAGTAGGTAGTGTAACTAGGAACATTTTGCCTTCGAAGTCATGTCCTTACTATTTCTTTTGATCTGAACAGTAAGCTTTTAATGTTAAATGATGTTTGTCAGTCCCACAATACAGCAGCATAACATCAGCCATATAAGTAAATCACATTTCTCTAGGTGCCTATTCAGTAATCTGACCAGATTTCAATAACTTCAAATGTTGTGCTTTCTTTTTTTAACTGTAGGTTCTTATCAAAGTGTTGGATAACAATGATAATGGCCCAGAATTCTCTCAACCAAGTTACGATGTCACCATTTCAGAGGACATCCTCCCTGATACTGAAATTCTGCAAATAGAAGCCATAGACAGAGATGAAAAGCATAAGTTGAGCTACACCATTCACAGCAGCATTGATACAGTCAGCATGAGGAAATTCAGAATTGATCCCAACACTGGGGTACTCTATACTGCTGAGAGATTAGACCACGAAGCACAAGATAAGCACATCCTTAATGTCATGGTAAGAATGCAATATTCATTTGGCTCAGGACATAATCACTGCTGCTTCAGATGCATATGTACCTTAGTCTTTGCATGGGAAAAGGACTTTTGATGGAGTAAGTAGTCATTAATTTAATCTTGCCTGCCCTGCTGTGTTATTTATTTTACATTTCTTCATTTGGGTTTTTTTGGAAACTTATTATGAATTTGTTGTATGTAATGTGATATGATTTGCTTTCTCAAGGGAGAGCAAGCAGGAAATTATTTAATCTCTTGACATCTGGTCCTCTCACCCGAGGTAATTGTCAGAGTTTCTGAAGTGAGGCTGAAAGTTATTTGAGAAGTTATTCACAGGGAGATAACTGTTTCTTACCATAGAGAATGCTATAGCCTTTCTGAGTACAAGTCTCATTTATAGTTTACTTTTACAGACTTATTTCAGTACATAAGCAGTTGACATACAAAATAGCTTTCAGCTAGATTTCCTAATGTTTGGGTATGCAGAAAAAAAAAATCCATATTTTTGCTCAGTATGCCTAAATTACATTGTCTGTTTTCAAGTAAAGGTTGTATATTATGGACTGGAGGTTATTAGTTTAAGCATTGTAGCCTGTGACTTTCTTTAACCAGTTGAGGTTCCTGCAGAAGGGATCTGTGAAGGAACAGCTCATGACATGTTAGGTATGGAACTGTCTCTGGGTGAGGGAGCTCAGGAATGAGAGAGCTGCTGTTGAAATTCAGCAAGTAGGAGCTGAGTGGGGTCTCAGTTCACAGTGGGATATTCTGCAAGTCCTCTAGTGAGCAGGCTAAGAAATACATACAAACTGGAGCACAGAGAGAGAGATGGCTGACAGAGTTCATTTCCCGAGAGTTGTGTTTGATCTTCACCTACAATAGGGGTTTTGTTCTATTTATGGAGAACCAAACTTTTAGGGATCTCATTGGCAGGATTATCAGTTTAGCAGTGGTGAGATGTTTAGTATGGGTTTGAGAGAGGTGTGATAAATGATACCTCTGTTCAGAGTGCTCAGCACTTCTTAAACTAATCCTACTCTGTTTACTATTGGTATAATCATCTTCAAAAAGAGATGTACATCTGTAATGAAAAAATCCATTGACAGCTGCAAGCTCTAGATTAACACACAACTGATCATAGTGAGTAAAATGGTTTGTAGCTCTTTGAAAGAAGTAGCAATTTTTACCTTTAATGCTATAAAGCAGAGAGTTGCAGGGCAAAGGCATGATCATTTAGCAAGTATTAAAAAATCCCCAACCTATTTCTTACAATTCTAAAAATGAATTTAAGATGCCATGTGGTTGCCACTTCAAAAATCCATGTCAAGATGGCTGTTGCCATGCATTTTTTCACAAGTGAAGAAAAAGAGAATCTAAGCTCTTCCTGTTTCCTAAATTTCACTATGTACCATCTCTCACATGTGACTATGTTTTAGATTGTAAGTAAGTTCTTTGGGACAAGTGTATTTTTTTATTACTTTGAATTGAATAGAACTGAAAGTATTATTAGCACTCAAATGAAAAATATTTCAGAAGTCTAGATATCAAGATGTGTGTTATGCACTTGTTCTGTAGGTCCGAGATCAAGAATTCCCTTATAGAAGAAACCTGGCCAGAGTCATCATAAATGTGGAAGACTCCAATGACCATAGTCCATACTTTACCAGCCCATTGTATGAAGCCTCGGTGTTTGAATCAGCAGCAGTTGGGTCAGCAGTCTTGCAGGTCACAGCTTTGGACAAAGACAAAGGGGAAAACGCAGAACTTATCTACACTATTGAAGCAGGTGAGGACAGAGGATGAAAATGTAGCATCATGATTCATGCTGTCCACAGAGCAGTGCTGTGATGGTGACACACAAGTCAGCGTCCTTGGTCTACCTTCTCCTGGAGGGCTGGGCAAGAGTGACACCTTCTTGTTGGTTGGTTTTTTAATTATTATTTTGAAGCTATTATACCCAAAACCTGTCAGAAGATAATCTCATTCACATTCACTAGATGGCTGTAGAGCCTTTTAACTCTAAGTCATTGGTTCAAAACCATCATAGAAGATAGTTATTGAAAGCTGCAGCCAGTGACTTGTTTTCAGAGTGCTACCTTCAGTGTAGTACACAGTGGATCCTCCATAAACAAATGCCACCAAAGCTGGTACATCCTGGCATTTTTGCCTATATTGGGATCAGAGGAGCATGGAGACAAACACCAGGACTATGCTAAAAACTTCTGTCAGCAGAGCCATAGCATTTTAATGGCACAAGGTGTTCTGTAACTAAGGGAGGGCATGGCAATACCAGATTAAAACTGCTTTTGCTGTTAAACTCTTGGTATTTACATTCACCACATAATCTGCGCCATCAAAAGCATTTGTCTGCCATTGCAACAGCATAGTCATGAGAAATTTGGATTATCTCGGCCACACATGCAAGTGAATCCAGCTTTCTCTGACACATATGTGTCTGAAGTTCAGAATTATCTCTGAGACAAACCATTACCATACATACAAGAGGGATGCCTGGAAAAGACATAAGGAAGTAGAGATGTGTAACCCTTGGATTTTGTAATGTTTCATTTCTAGTTGGTTGGATTTTTTTAGTAATATGAATCTTTCCATTGTAATAATAGCAAAATTTGAAACCTATATATTGCCCTAAAAAAGTCTCATATCCTGCAGATTATCCCCATATTAATCAGACCACAGACCTTTCCCAGCATTAGGCTCTGATCCTACAGGATCATTACTTAATCCCTCTGTTACTTGAAGACTTATCACAAGCTAGGACTGCTTACATCAATTAGGAACAGGCTAAATGACAAAAAATAAATAATGAAATAAGACTGTCTACAACATCTCATATTTATTTAACTTCATATAGTTCAGGCTGACACCTTAAATTAAGCTGATGTAACCTGAAGCTTACAGAAGACGCAAGGAACTTTTTTCTGTCATTACTCTGTGTGCTCTGGGGAAGTAGAGTCCCTTAAACAAACCAAGAGGTGAAGTCCTTTTCAGCTAAAAGTGCTGAACTTAACAGTACACTACAAAACAAATATTTCCTTTATGTACTTCATTTGGTCTTACTAGTTATTTCTTGGTATTCTCCAGTGGCCTTTAAGTTAGATAAGGGAAAATTTTGCGGATTCCTGGACAGGACAATGCTGCACCTTGTAAAATAAACTCTGAGCAGACCAGGTCATGTTCCTGGGGCAATGTTTTTCAAGGCTGTTTCCAGCTTTTTTTTAACATCCTATTACTATTATTATAGGCTCCAACCCAATCACCTATCAGCGCCAACACAATGTAAAGAGCAACCTGACATGCTAGGAGTATGGCTCCCATACACTGGGTTGTACAGTCATACTTGATGCAGACAGAAAAATATGATTATTAGGAAGGATGCTTTAGTGATTTGCTGGTCCTTTTTATTCTGCATGTTTTTCTCTTTTCTAGAGGGTCTCTCATTACAACCTGTTTCTGTTTCATCATGAGCTCTCCCTGCAGTGTCAGACTTCAAACTTCCATTTCCTGTAAGCCACGCATTCCCCCAGTTTCATTATCCACAGACGTTCCAGTTCCAGAAGCATCAAAATTCTGTCTTCTGCTGCTGTAGTTTCTGTGATCCATAAAATCTGCAGTTGAGGATACTAATTTTATCTGCAGCATTCAGGTTGTACACAGCCCTTTCACTCAGGGGATTTACTTACATCACCTTACATGGGAAGAGAGCAATTGGTAAAGAAAGTAGCTTTTGTGTAATTTCATAATTCCTAAAGGAGAAGAACCAGCTCTAGCCTTACATCAGGCAGTAAGTGGCTAAAAATTATTTGTATTAGTAAGCACTGACAAAATAACTGCAGCAGCATTTGTAGTGTCTGCAAATGTGACAGATACTGTGATCTTTATGAGAATTTGTTGCTCTGGCAGAATCTCAGCTCCTCAGTGAATAGCACAATTTTTGGTTTAGCTAGTAGGGTAAACTTTACTGATCTGAAAGGATGGCTATAAATAGAAAGCCACTACTGGTATTGAGCTACATACAGTGGTATGTAGCTTAAATTAACTTTCAAGCCTCAGAATTTACAACAGATAGTTAATCACATCTTAAAACTAGTATACATTAACTCACTTCATTTAGTATTCCATGTATTTGGTATTCCAGCTACGATTTTCACATTTACTGCTCTGTGCACAGCACCTGTATCACCATTAAAAGGAAATCTCTTGTTTAGGTCTTTTCCAACCGAGCGATTCTGTGATTCTGTGATTCTGTGATCAGCAGTTACTTAAGGTATATTTCTCTCCAGGTCATGGATGGATTCTTGAACATTGATTGGAAGCAGTTACAGATTTTAAAGTGTAAATTCCAAGAACAGGAACACATTGTAATGATTGGAATTGATGTAACTCGGTGCATGTTGTTTGTATTTAGAATCAAATTCAGTAAAAGAGTCTGTATGCTTATACATGTCGTATACTCATGCAGCATCCTATACTTTAAGTAGGCACTCAAGAAACCAGCAAAATACAGATTGCCTAATAAAGGTCCTCTCTAATTACAGGGCAAAGATATGTATCAAAAGTTTTGAATACATCTTGCTAAAGAAGAGGTTGGCAAAAAGACTAAAAAGAAAAAAAGGCCCCAGAGAAGGTCCTTGATCCAGACTCCCTGTTTTCACCTTTATGCAGTCAATGATATCCCTGCTTTCATGTTATAACAGACATTTCATGACATTTTCTGCTAACTCATTCACCTAGATTCATCCTCCTCAGAGATCATACCATAAAGCTTTGCGCCACAAGATACTTGAATCTCTTTTCTATGCTATTTGTTCTGTTTTATTTTTCTAAATGCCACTTTAACCTTTTTATATTCAGTTCTTTGAGTCTTGAACTACTGTAATCTTCTCTACGGTTGCTAAATAACCCCTTCAATTAAGAGCCTGAGTTGTTACCCATTTGTCATTTAATTGGCTTGTTAGCCTCTGATCTAGTTTCTTTGCCTTAGGTGTACATGTATTTGACTAATTCCCATAATTTAGGCATGCTTTTTCCTACTTCAATAGAAGTAATGCACATGCAGCACTTGCTTAGATGTAGATACTCAGAATCAAGATACAGATAGCAGCATCTGAGTTTCTGAAGGTTTGAACACCTCAACTGTCTACTGAGATGCCTGATTTTCAGAAATGAAGGCTGGAAGGGCCTTTAGAATTATTTTATGTTGGTTTTGTTTTGGTTTTTTTCATTAACTGCTTTTAACAAATTGCAGCTAATTGTTCCTGGTTTTAATTATCACTAAGTGCATGGTATTTAATTTCTAATTTGTTTCCAATGTTTGTGTTTTAGGAAATACAGGAAACACATTCAAGATTGAACCAGTTTTAGGGATCATTACCTTATTGAAGGAGCCAGACTTAACCACAATGGGACAGTTTGTTTTGTCAGTCAAAGTGGCTGATCAAGGCTCTCCACCACTGTCTGCAACAGCAATTGTGCGGATATCTGTGACGATGGCAGATAACTCCCACCCTAAATTCACTCTCAAAGAATACCAAGCGGAGGTTAATGAAAATGTGGATATTGGTACTTCTGTCATCTCCCTCTCTGCAATCAGTCAGTCCACCCTAGTTTATGAGGTTAAAGATGGGAATGTGGATGGAGTCTTCACTATAAATCCATATTCCGGAGTGATCACCAGTCAAAAGGCCCTTGATTATGAACGTGCTTCCTTCTATCAGCTCATTGTACAGGCAACAAATATGGCAGGCATGGCATCAAATGCCACTGTGAACATTCAGGTTGTTGATGAAAATGATAACCCACCAGTTTTTCTCTTCTCTCAGTACTCAGGCAGCATAAGTGAAGCTGCTCCTGTAAACAGCATAGTCCGGAGTGCGAATAACAGTCCTCTCGTGATACGTGCCACTGATGCTGACAGCAACCAGAATGCTTTGCTTGTCTACCAGATTGTTGAATCTACTGCAAAAAAGTATTTCACGGTAGATTCCAGCACAGGTGCAATCAGAACAATTGCAAATTTGGATCATGAAACAATAGCCCACTTCCATTTCCACGTGCACGTCAGAGATAGTGGGAATCCCCAGCTTACAGCAGAGAGCCCAGTTGAAGTGACCATTGAGGTAACCGATGTCAATGACAACCCACCAGTCTTCAGCCAGGCTGTATTTGAGACAGTCTTGCTCCTGCCTACATATGTTGGTGTCGAGGTTCTCAAAGTCAAGGCTACAGACCCAGATTCAGAGATCCCTCCTGAACTAACATACAGTCTAATTGAAGGCAATATGGACCATTTTTTAATTGATTCAAGCACAGGGGTACTCACCATTAAAAACAATAGCCTCTCCAAAGACCATTATATGCTAATAGTAAGAGTATCTGATGGGAAATTTTATAGCACTGCTATGGTGACAATAATGGTGAAAGAAGCCATGGATAGTGGGCTCCATTTCACACAAAACTTTTATTCCACTTCTATCTCAGAAAACAGCACCAATATCACCAAGATTGCTGTGGTGAATGCTGTTGGTAACCGCCTCAATGAGCCTTTGAAATACAGTATACTAAACCCAGGGAACAAATTTAAAATCAAATCTACCTCAGGAGTCATTCAGACAACTGGCATCCCCTTCGATCGAGAGGAGCAAGAGCTGTATGAGTTGGTAGTGGAAGCAAGCCGTGAACTAGATCACCTTCGTGTTGCTCGAGTTGTGGTGAGGGTGTACATTGAGGACATAAATGACAATGCTCCAGTGTTTGTAGGGCTTCCATACTATGCTGCTGTGCAAGTCGATGCTGAGCCTGGTACCCTGATATATCGAGTGACAGCTATTGATAAAGATAAGGGTGAAAATGGTGAGGTGTCATACCTTCTGAAGGAAGACTATGGACATTTTGAAATTGATAGAGGATCTGGTAGTGTCACTTTAAAAGAAGCCTTCAATTCTGATTTGTCTAATATAGAGTATTTGGTTGTCATTCTTGCAAAAGATGGCGGTAACCCATCATTGTCTGCTTCGGTAGAGCTCCCCATTACTATTGTTAACAAAGCAATGCCTGTATTTGACAAGCCCTTCTATACAGCTTCTGTGAATGAGGATGTAGAAATGCACACACCAATTTTAAGCATAAATGCAACCAGTCCAGAAGGCCAGGGGATCATTTATATCATTGTCGATGGAGATCCCTACAACCAGTTCAATATTGATTTTGATACTGGAGTTCTGAGTGTCATCAACCCACTGGACTATGAAATGAATTCTCTTTTCAAGCTGATGGTGCGAGCCAGCGATGCTCTCACTGGAGCTCGAGCTGAGGTCACTGTGGACTTGATCATTAATGACGTTAATGATAATCCTCCAGTATTTGATCAGTCTGCTTATAATGCTACTTTGTCTGAAGCATCTTTGATTGGGACTCCTGTACTGCAGGTTGTTGCTATTGATGCTGACTCTGACAATAACAAGATTGTGCAGTATCAGATAGTCCAGGACACCTTTAACAGCACGGATTATTTCCATATAGACAGCACCAGTGGCCTAATTCTGACAGCCCGGATGTTGGATCACGAATTCATACAGCAGTGCAGCTTGAAAGTCAGAGCAACCGATAATGGGTTCCCACCACTAAGCAGTGAGGTTCTTGTGAGTATCTCAATAACAGATATGAATGACAACCCTCCAATTTTTAACCAGTTAATATATGAATCGTATGTGAGTGAGCTGGCACCTAGAGGTCATTTTGTGACCTGTGTCCAAGCCTCTGATGCCGACAGCTCTGATTTTGACAGACTGGAGTACAGCATCCTGTCAGGAAATGATCGGACCAGTTTCATTATGGACAGCAAGAGTGGTGTTATCACCCTTTCCAACCATCGCAAACAGAGAATGGAGCCCATGTACAGCCTAAATGTCTCTGTGTCAGATGGGCTGTTCACCAGCACAGCCCAGGTGCACATACAGATCCTTGGGGCCAACCTTTACAGCCCTGTGTTTTCACAGAGTGTATATGTTGCTGAGGTTAGAGAAAACGCTGCTCCTGCAACTAAGGTAATCCATGTGAAGGCAACAGATGGGGATTCCGGTGTATATGGCCAGATAAGCTATTCCATAATAAATGACTTTGCCAAGGACCGATTTTTGATTGATAGCAATGGGCAGATTCTGACAACAGAGAGGTTAGACCGGGAGAACCCACTGGAAAGTGATATCGGTATATTTTTGAGAGCCCTTGATGGAGGTGGCAGGACTACATTTTGCACTGTAAGAGTGATAGTAGTGGATGAGAATGACAATGCTCCTCAATTTATGACGGTTGAATACAGAGCAAGTGTCAAAGCAGATGTTGGGAAAGGTTACTTGGTGACCCAAGTGCAAGCAGTAGATCCAGATGATGGAGCCAATTCCAGGATTACCTATTCTCTGTATAGTGAAGCTTCGGTTTCAGTAGCTGATCTGCTTGAAATAGATCCAGACAATGGATGGATGGTCACCAAGGGTAGCTTTAACCAGCTGAAAAACACAGTTCTGTCATTCTTTGTCAAAGCAGTTTTTTCTGTGAAGCATTCCCTCATTCCTGTCTACATCCATGTTTTACCCCCAGAAACTCTTTTGCCTTCCTTTTCTCAACCCCAGTATTCATTTACCATAGCAGAAGACACCCTCATAGGTAGTACCATTGACATTCTGCATGTTTTGCCTAATCAAGGTGCTTTGTATAGCACAGTAAATGGTGAGCTGACTGAAAACAACAAAGATGGGGTTTTCATCATAGAGCAAGACACGGGGCTCATAAAACTGGATAAGAGACTTGACCATGAGACAAATCCTGCCTTTCACTTCAAAGTTGCAGCCACCATTCAATTAGACAAAGTAGACATTGTGTTGACTGTGGATGTGGAGGTTAAGGTATTGGATGTAAATGACAACAAGCCCATGTTTGAAACGGCTAGCTATGATGCTATAATAATGGAAGGGATGCCTATAGGGACAAAACTTACGCAAGTTAAAGCGGTTGATGCAGACTCGAGTGCAAATGGGCAGGTCACATATACACTTGCAGTGGAATCGGAGCTGGAGAAGATCATGGAAGTGTTCACCATTGATAGCAACAGTGGCTGGATCAGCACTCTGAAGGATCTGGACCATGAAAAGGATCCTGCTTTCACCTTTGCAGTGGTGGCCTCAGATCTGGGGGAAGCTTTATCCTTGTCATCAACCACCTTGGTCTCAGTTACTGTGACAGATATAAATGATAATGCACCCATCTTTGAGCATGAGGTGTACAGAGGGTCAGTGAAGGAGAGTGACCCTCCAGGGGAAGTTGTGGCTGTTCTTAGCACCTGGGATGAAGACACGTGTGATGTCAACCGGCAGGTTAGCTACCATATTACAGGTAAGAAACAACTTGCATGCTTTCTTCCCAAAACCATCTTTACTGGAGAACTGTGCATGTGTCCAGTTTTACGTGAATGTTTAGCAGGGTTTCAGCTAAATTGTCACTGTGAGTCAGACAGTTGCATCTCTGATTTTTTTATTATTTTTTTTTAATTCAGACAGAATTTGCAGTAACAAGCAAAGCTGAAAAGAGGGAAATGGAGTGTGTGTCTGTCTGTCTGGGTTATTCTTTCTGATTTCCAAGATTAATGCTTCATGATTTGCTGCAGTGCTATGTAGTGTGACCCATCAACTCATCATAATTGATGTGTCAGCCTGAAAACCATCATGACTTAATGTTTCGACCAAGGGAAGAACATTTTATTCTTAAGGAGAAAGTCCTTTACATTTCCAAGCATTTACAGTTTTTTGAAATAGCATTTTTCTTTTTGAGATAAGAAAGTGTGTGCAGGAACTACTTTGAAATGACACTATTTATGGAAGAAAAAAGAAAAAAAAAGAATTAATTTTACATTGGAAGGATTGGAAGGAGTGGGAGGATGCCATTTCTTATCAGCACAGATTTCTGGACAGGGAAATAGTATTCCACTTAGAAACACTGGTTAGCTGCCATGTATTGTTATATACAGCATAAGGCAATTTCGATTACATTGCTAACATATTTTTCAAAGTGTGGTAACATTGCTCTTTCTTACTGTACTATATTTATTATCATTCTTTTCTCCTAGGTTCAGACTGGCTTTTGTGTATGTTGAGTGATGGGGTGCTGCAGTTGTTTTTCTGCCTACAGCTTGCATTGTCCAATAGATTTTGTTAGGGAACACCTTTTTCACGTCCCCCAAGCCTCACAATCCAAGAGCTAATATTCATTACCTAGTAATAACCAGATTATTGGACAGAATCAGATTTTTCTCACTGGATAGGATTAGAATTACACAAGACTGTCTGTAGGAAGCAGGCTAAATTACTTAACAGGATAACAGTTTGTGCATTTTGTTCTGGAGGAAAAGACTCCTACCTCTTTGTTAGCTGTCAAATTGGAAACGACTGTGGGATGGTGTGCAGGGAGAGGTGAGATATCCCAGTTAGCCATACATTGCCTCTATTATACATCAGAAGTAGCATCATTTTCAAGGCAACTAGAAATTAATTCATTTATTTGAAAGTCTGGATTTGGTTTACAGGTTTGTAAAGACTATGTGTTTACATAGATGTGTTGTAGGATATTAGAAATCGAGGCAAAAATAGTCTTGGCAAAAAAATCTAGGCAAAAAATAAGCACAGGATTTGGAGGCTTTGGGCAAGGTGCCAGTGCCTCAGTTCCCACATAACTAAAAGTAAATAAGTAGTGCCTCATCCTAGAGATTTTGTGATATTTGAAGGAATTTGGGGATCCCAGTATAGAAAGTACTATAGGAAATGCAAACCCTTCATGTTTATAACAAAAATATGTTAGTGTAACGTGATCATAGCTGAGGGTACTGCTTTTCTCTTTGTTCTGAAGTCTTTCAGTCATCTCTTATAATGAATTATGGTTTTAGTTACATAATAATGTTGTCTTCACATCCCTTACTGCAGTCTTCTGGTCAACTTTGAAAAGGGGTAAATACATTCTGGTGGATAAATACATATTTTGAACTTCAGTTTAGGATTCGTTTCCATGATTGCTGGCAAGTAGTTGCCATTTTCAAATTCACCGTCATCTGCACTTGATGATGGGTGAAAAAGAATTTGCACTTATGCTTTGTTATTTGTAGTTTGATAGCAACTGGAGGTGTTCACAAAGCAAAAGGCCAATATATAAATCTTAACAGAAAATCAATAGGAAGCACAGATGACACAAATGCACTTAGGGAGCACGGTAGTTTTCTTCTGAAGGCTCATTTGAGGTCATTGTCTATACAATTTGAGTGAGTTTGGCTAAAATCAGGGCTCTGCTGATGTTTAGCTAGGATGTTTAGCCGGCCTAGGCCCAGCCAGATATTAGTGAAATCAGCCACCAGAAAAATGTCAGTTGCTACGACTTTGGTAAAGTGTTTTGTGTTCCTCAGTGATGTTAATTAGGCTCCATCAGGCATGTAAATCTATGGACAATAGTCTTTAAACTTGGTTGAGCAGAATACAAGGAAGATGGACAGTGTGTTTTGGAAGAAAGAACTGGTATTGTACACAGTAGTTTTTTTACTGGGTTGATTGCCCAGTATGAGCAAAGTGATGGGTGTTTTTTTGTTTTTATTTTATATTTGGGATCCTGGAGCTCTGGAGAAATTGATGTTTTAGTATTTGGGGAGAGCTTGTGCTGCAGGCTGAAGAACAGTATCTGTATTTTTATGATAGTAAAGCTAAGAGGATTGGGTTTATCATTTCGGCAGCTCAGTAAACATGCAACATCTTAAAATGGGAGTGGAGGATAAACCTATTGATTTTATGCGATGCAAATGCCTGGAGTTCTAATTGGGAATTGAAAGTCTCTAAATAAATGCATAAATGTAAGAGAGAAGCTAAATAAAGAAGTTAGTAAATATTCAGTTCCCCCTCCCAGATCGGGACACTGCAGTGAAAGCTGATACTGTTGGCTTCTAGATTTCAGTACCCTCCTAGCCATTATAATTCCCTCTGTGTGTGCTTTAGTAATGATGTGTGTCAGGATTTGTTTATTTTGGATCACTGTGTCTCTGCATTTCATTTGTATCTGGCTGTTTTCTTTCTTTACTTAAACTTGAGCTTGATTTGGCTTTGTACTATTTGCTGACTAGGGAGGGAGGGAGAGCATTATTTAAACTTCAAGTAACAAAAGATAAAAGATAATGCTGATTCTTTTAGCCTCAAAGCCTTTGTAAAAAGTTACTGGAGTGTTTTTTGTAGCTAGCACTTCACTGTTGTGACATTCAAAGTAGAACATAAGAAAACTGCCAAAAGATTTTAAAGAATCCATTAATACATGTAGTCAGGAGGCTTCCATTTAGAAAAGCTGCATTATTGAGAGAGAAAAACTAATTAATTAGAACACCCCTAGGAAACTGAATCTGCTTACATATATTAGTGAAAAAGTTAATTAATCACTGCAGAATGAGATTTGCATCAAGATATATGTATAAGTACCAGAAAATGGCTCCCTGGGCCACAGCGTGTATTTTTTTGTGTTTCCTTTTTTAAGAATGTTTCCTTGACAGTATTTTATTGTCTACATCTCATTATTTCTGATAAACTTTACAGTACACCTTCTACCTTTGTCTCCCATCAACAAAGTATATAGCCAGTCCAGAGAAGCAAAAAAAAGAAAGCAAGGTAGCACTAATGAAAAAGACATGCAGATAAACTGTTACACATGTTTGCTACCTACTGCACCAGTTTCTTGGTCATTCAAATTGATCCTTTTCTGGTGGAGTAAAGGGGAGAGGAAGGGATCCCAAGGATATCTTTTATACATACTCCTCAAATTCCTATGTATGATTTAAAAGCCATTCCATCAACAACAAAGCAACAGTGATTTTAAAATTGTTCCAAGCTAGTGTAACTGCCAGCCATAAAAATGCTACCAGCTGATTTTAATTAGATTTTACCTTTCCTCTTTTCTTAACAATGGGATACCCATACCTTGAGTGTATTGCTTCATAGTTAGACAGTTAATGATTTCCTTTTACAAAAGGACTAATATGCAGGAAAGCACTGATTGATATCACAAAGCTAAATAAGAATATTTAAGATCATTTTTATTAATGGTTTACAACATTAAACTCACTATGACAGGATTACAGCCTTTTATAAAGGAGAGTTAAGCTTTTTTTATGCTGATGTGGAACTGAATAAAGGGAATTTAATGTCAATCCACAAAGGTCTACCTTCTTTGAAATCACAATAAGATTCAAGTCAGTGGACAGATTCTCATTGCCTTGGATTGTATTCAGACATGGCCCATAGTGCACAGCAACAGACTATGTAACCCTCTTTAGGAAAGTGGGTGTTTATATCACACAACAGATTAAACAAGGTTTAACAGAGTCCTCTGATGATTATTCCAAACTCTTGCAGCAATCAGTGGGAAAATTGGGATCTGCTTGGTTTTGTAATCACAAAAGGTGATTTTCTATCAAGAGAAAATATCTGCATTTGATATATTAGTTTTGTATTCTGTATGATTAGAGGACCTTTTGTAATTATAATGCCTATCTGGATGATTTTCTGTAAATGTTATTCATTACAACATGCTTTTTTGACACAGTTACAGCTAGCACAAATGGTGATGCTTAACAAGAAAGATTTGCTCAGCCTGTCTCAACTGACTGAGGTTCATATTAAATAGAAACCAGCCTATCTTGTCATTGGTAACTAATGAAGAAGGCATAGATTACAGCCTGTGACCTCTTTTCTGCTTTTTGATGTAGAAAAAAGGTATGAAATGTGCTGTTTGATTTTAATCTCAGTTTCAAGTTCAGATCTTCTCTGCCTTGTTTTTTAGCTAAGAAGGACCCTGGGAACTGACAGAATTGTGACACTAGAAGTAGCAACAGTGACACCTAATTGCTTGACAGCAGAGACAGCTCAAAGGAATTCAGCCTTGGATTTATTTTTTTTTTTAATACTTATTTACTCACACATTCAACACAAGTAGTAGAGAGGAAGGTTTAAAAACCTGGTCTTTCCATTGAGCTTGGACAGATCCCATGACAAGTGTCAAGACCCTGAATAAGTTGTAAGCAAAAGTGCTCTGGCATGCTTGACAGTCTTGATCCTATTACAAGAAAGAATAAGCATTCTCTTAACATTTTTATACCACTTTTATACATGAGAAACATGGAAAGTGGTTCTCAGATTGCATTTCTGCATGGAAGAGCAGAGAA